TTCTTTATATAAACAGCCAAACAAAAATTAAAATAATAAAAATAATACATAATATAAACAATAAACAATTATAAATAACATCACTATCATCATCATGATTATTTTCCATTTTCATACAATAATTTTTTTCTTTCTTCTTCTATCAATTTCTCTAACTCTATAATTTTATTTTCTTTTTCTTTTATAATAATATCTTGCTCTTTTATGATAATATCTTGCTCTTTAATCTTGTGGTTAAGAGTTTCAATCTCTACATTCAATTTTTCAACATCTAATTTTAAAGCAGTCACTTCTTGAGATTTTGTATACCAAAAATAAAATATAATCCCCATAAAATTGTTGTTTATTCACATTCATCATCAATTTCAAATAAAAAATTATAATAAAATTTTCTTCTTAATACAGTTATAAGTATATATATGTATTAATCAACTACTAGGACATCGTCTTTGTCTTCAAGTTTTTTTAGCAATTTTTATTTATATCAATCAATTCATTTTTTTTCACATAAAGATTTAATTACTATTTTCATTTCTTCAATAGTTAGAAATAATGTTTCTTGTCTTTCCACAAAATCTTTATTCTTTTCTTCAGCAATTCGAAGTCTTTCTTCTAAATCCTTTATCTTTTGTTCTGCAATATTTTTTTCCAACACGTAATTTGTGATTTGAACTTGATTACTATAATTTTCGAGCGATATTTCAGCTATAATTTTTTTATCTTTTTCTCTTTCTTTAACAGCTTCAAAATATTCGTCAAAAAAGTATTGATTAGTCTCACGAGATAAATCAAAATATCTATTCATATACCGCACAAAACTCTCACCATTATCCATATTTAAAATAGTTTTATCTTCTCTAATAATTCCTTCACTGTATTTAAACCATGTCTTTTTTGTTTACAAATCCAAGCATTCTCTTTATATACACCACTATCGTCTATAGATTGCATACATATTTTAAAATAATCATATTTTTCATCATTTTTATGGTAAATTCTATAAAAATATTCGTTGGTTAAAACACTGTCTACAAGTACAAAGTTCTCATCCATTTTTGTTCATGTCTTCATTTGTTCGTTGATCTTTATACGTGGAATCAGAAAAACCAAAAGGTAGATAAATTTCATTTTTTTCGTTTTTCTTGAGTGTATTCACATACATTTGAGAATAACTTCCGATAATATTAGAGAATTTTAAATCCTCTCCATGCCATTTTTAAATCATTATATAAATCAGAAGAAACTAACAAATCGTTTAACAAATCGATATAACCATGAATTAATGAACATAAAGTAACTTCATTTTCTAACACCACTTTTTTAAAATTTTTCTCTCTCTTTCTTCTTCCTCGTAAGCTTTATTTATTCTTTCCAAAGTTTCAGGAGGTATAGATGCCATTGATATCTTTATATACAATATACAAACCAAAACTTCATACAACGATACTATTGATATGATTGAATAGTAAATTTCACAACAAATGTTTATAACAGCAACCAACCAAATAAATAAATACTTCGTTATCTACGTTTTTCTTTAAAAACAAATCGTGTTCATTTTCTTCATATTTATTCAAGTCAAAAACCAGCTCTTCGTTTTTTCTTCATTATACCATGGTGTATTTCTTAAATCATTGTACAATTGTTCATTCTTCAAAATATATGTAATAATTCGAATATAATCATGAATAGAAGAAACCAATTTCTCATTACAAACAAGCATATCTTTTAGAAAATCTTTCTTTTTTTTCAGGTATTTTTTCCCATTCAGAAAGATATGTTTGTGCTCTTTTTAAATTTTGTTCCATATTATATCAATAGAGTTAAGAGAACACACTTAAAATAAAATGGGTAAAAATGAAATAGGTAAAATTTATGAATTTTTAACTGAATTTAACTGTAGTAAATGTATATATATATACTTTTTACCAAATAATTATAAATATATAAGTGAATTATCTTTTAATGAATTTATTATTAACCATATAAATCATATTGAATACGAAAAAAATAAATAAAAAAATTCAAAAAGAATTTAAAAATGGAAAAAGAAAAAACACTTTATATTATTACAAAACTATATAAAGTCTGTAGTGTAAAATTTTAAAATCAAAATAGATATGGCATATGAACACATCTATAAACTATACAACAAATTACATTATAAATATTGTTTTTCTTGTTCATCGTGTCAAATCATAAAATTAAGTTAATTTATTTGGTCATACACCATTATCAAATGAAGATGCTATCAAGTATCATGCAGAATTTTGTTGTAAAGAAAATGAAGAATTAAAGAAAAAAGTTGAAGAAGAAATTAAATATATCGAAGAAGAAAAAGAAAAAAGGAAAAAAAATAAAAGAATTTGGAAGAAAGAACTTAAAGAAATAAAAATAAAAAAATCCCTATTTAAAACCTCATGTAAATTTTTTTAAAAGAAAAAGAAAGAAGGAAAAAAATAAAAAAACATACAAGAAAGAAATAGAAATTAAAAAAAACATGATAGTTTATTGTAACCCATTAAATTGTAAACTTTATTCATTTTCATACTAACGTTTAGTGGAGAATAGCTGATTTATTATGGAAAAAATGGATGAAAATAAAAATAATATTGCAAATGAAAGATATAGAAAATTATTTTACAAATATTGTTTTTATTGTAAAGAATGTCAAAGATATCAAATGGAGGCTTTATATAGTGCTTCATTACCAAAAAATCCAACACATTGTGTTTTTCATCATTTGTATGTTTGCTGTAAAGAAAAAGAAGAAATAAAAAAAATTGAGGAAGAAATTAGTTTTATTGAAGAAGAAAGGAAAGAAAAAACTTAAATGTCATATAAAACATACCATACAAGCAAAATCAATACAGAATACAGAAAATTGTTTTATAAATATTGTTATTATTGCAAAATATGTTTTGATTACGAAATTTATTTGAGTTTGAAAATTTACCAACACCAACTGGAGCAGAAAGTATTGATTATCATGCAAACGTTTGCTGTAAAGACAAAAAGGAATTAAAAAGAAAAATTGAAGAAGAAATTCAATCGATAAAAGAAGAAGAAAAAAAAAAGAGGGAAAATAAAAGATATATTAAGAAAGAACTTAAAGAAATAAAAAGAAAAAAAAACACATTATTCTATTTTTCTTTTTTGTAAGAAATTTGAATTTTTGAATGGAGGATAAAAGTGGTAATTTTCTTGAAAATAAAAGTGATAATTTTCTTGAAAATGAAAGATATAAAAAATTATTTTATAAATATTGTTTTTATTGTAAAAAATGTCAAAGACATCTAAAGGTTTTAAATAACACATCATTACCAGTATACCCATCAGATTGTATTTTTTATCATACATATACTTGCTGTAAAGAAAAGAAAGAATTACAAAAAAATTGAAAAGAAGTTAATTTCATTCATAAAGAAAGAAATTATACAAAGGTAAGATATGTTATTAAAAAACTCAAATGAGAATATATTCATTTTTAATCCAACTTTTGTTGTATTATAGAAAGAAAATACAAAAAAATGAATGAAGCTAAGGATATAAAAACAAGACTACAAGAAATATCTTTATTTATAAAAACAACAAACATGTTAGTGCAAAAAGAAATTAAAGAAATAAAAGATATGATTACAAAAAATGAGGAAGAAAATGTTTTATTACATTTGAAATTACTTGATAAAATTAATGTGATAGAAAAAAATAAAAATGTTGATAAAATTAATGTGTTAGAAAAAAATAACAATGTTGATGAAAATAATAAAACTGAAAAATCAACATTTGTTACACCTACTGGATTATTTGGAAAATCTACTGCTAAAAATCATTTGATTTACTTAGTAAGGAGGAAAATCCATTAGCATTTGATGCATCTTTTCAATCAAGATTTGGTGGTGTACCCATGGGTTCATTTATTAAAAGAGGAAAACCTGTCATTTGGTGAATCTAGTGGTTTATTTTAAAAACTTTTTTAATATAACATTTTAAATTGTAAAACATGTAATAAATTGTTTTTCTTGATTAAAATTGTTTTGCAATTTTTACATTTTTTTCATTTTTTACATTTTAAATTTATTTTTTCAATTTTTTCAATTTTTACAATAAATTTCATTTTTTACAATTTTCTCTATATTTATACTTTTTTATATATCTACTTGTATCATAAATATTCAGTCACTCGAAGAGAGAAGATGTCTTTCAAAAGTAGAATTAATTCAATTATTCAAGAGCTGAAATTTTTGGAAATATGATGGTCAAAACATCTTTTTAATAAGTCTTCTCCATATTGGATTTCTTTTCTGTCTTCATAAAGCAACAACGTCTTTGGTTCAACCTGTTAATATTGGTGTTTGTGATTAATTTTATCTCAAGTTTTTGGTAAGCATATTTTAATTTTTAATATTTATTAACATTATGACACTTACTTGTTTATCATCATTTTTAGAAAAATTTAATTTGGGATGAAGAATTTGGTGAAAAGGTTGATTCCTTTTATCGTTTCTTTAATGTGGATGAAGCATTGAAGCGTGACAATTTGTATCATCAATAAATTTGGACTTTGGACTTTCCATATTAATCATTTTAAAAATTGGACTTTGGACTTTCATCAATGTAATTATTTTATATTTATATTATATTTGAAATATATCTTTTTATAAAATCTTCTTGTTTATGTATTTTATATTACTCTTATCCACTATTCTAATATATATATGTATATTATCACAGGCTCACCCTTCTCTATTTTTATGTTTACTACCGCTGACTGCCTCAAAAACGATCCCCCCGGTTTTTTTTATTATAAGATGTATTATGACTATTTTTAGACATAATACATTTTATAATAAAAAAACTTGAGCCTGCGATGATATATATATATATATTAGTTAACTACTATTTTGAAGCTGATAAAATATACATATACAATGACAATATATACGTATGTTTTCATTTAGTTAGACTCACCATCTGAGTCAGACAAAAATCTTCCTGAACTAATTGCATATGCTATTAATCCAATGAGGAGTAAACCGGCACCTGTCGAGGAAAAAGACGACAAGAAATGCGATGACAAAAAAGGAGATGAAAAGATGGAATAGTAAGTTTTATCTTTTGGAAAAGATCCACAAAGCTCGACGTCATTAGTTGATGGTTGAAGAAAAAAGTAAAAATAGATTCATTTGTTGAATATTTTTTGAAAAATTCCGAACACATGTTTTTCTTTCTCTTATTACGGTAGTTTAATTCTTATTATAAATTTCCTTTAGAACTGGCGATCGTCGTTAATAAAACAAGAGTACGTAAAGACTGTTACCACATTTATAAAGTTTTATTTTGTTCTTCGTTATATAATCTAGATTTGATCTCTAAACAGTATTAAACCGAACACTTTATGATTGTGTCTGTGTACATAATCTTTTGCCATGAACAAACTTGAATCTTGGCATCTATGCTACAGTTTGTGAATGTATTTTACTTGCCTTTATAAGGCAACAACATTACACACTGACTTTAACACAGCATTTTGAATAGAATAGTTTTAATCGTACTTTTACTTTTATTATTTTAACTATCATGGTTAAACCATTTAAACTTTTATTTACATAGAATTTAAGTGTAGAAATTAGATAGAAAAATCAAGCAATGTCAAGGAGTGGGATGGCAAACTCTTTAAATTACTTCTTTACGATTGAATGATTTCATATGCACTAGTGTAAGGGATGTTTACGAACAAAACAATTTCGTGATCATTATTATTTTGCTTCTTTATTTTCGTGTCTACGGTAGATGTGAGATTTTACCTACCCCCAAAGACAAGCTAACATTGAGTGGCTTTGTTTCAGCAAGCTTGGGCGGTAATAGAAATTTTTTAATTTAAAAATTTCTAGGAAGACAGCAAACTGCAATGGAGTATCTGCCGGTTGCCAGTCTCCCTTAAATTTGCGCGGTTTTTGCAATGCATTTTGGGATCGCCAGGGGGCAAACATTGTGTATCTTTATAAAAATACACAATGTTTGCCTATTGGTGTTGGTTTTGGTTGCCAGTATGCTGGAAGTGAAGTCACTGAAGTTCTTTCACCTGACAAAAACTGTGAAACCCGGCGAAACCCAGCGACTGTGTTTGTCCCTTTGTGTGAGTAAAACACTGCCAATGACAATGTGAAACTTGCTATCATCGTTGTCATGGACAATAGTTCCAGATAAATTCCTTACTTGACCATTTTGGTGTAATTTATAATCATCAAATGTTCTCCAAGATGCCAACATTTCTTTGTCATATTCTGCTTTACTAACTATTAAATGATTGAAAATGTCCAACAGTCCAAATGTTGGTAAAGCTGACAGGTCATTTGATGTATGGGTCATTTTAAATGGATCTTGTAGGCGCTTTCCAGCAGGAAGTGTCAATCGTTCTTGAAGACAATGCTCCAAGGAATCCTTTGAAAAATCAGGATCAATTGGTAGTTTTGCCTCCTCAGTGGCTTCTGCTAACTTTATAAGATCGGATTTTAAATAGTTTGTAGTTGGTACACCACGGTCACTGATATACTCTTTCAAATCTTTAACTTTCCAGTCTTTGAAATTATTTCTCTGGTGAAATTGCTCATCCCTGACAACTGTACTAGTGTCAACATTCTTCGCAATGTTTTCATTTGCAAGCTTTTCTTGTTTGGTTTCAGAAAATATGGTTTTATGTTTAGATAGACAAGATGTGTTTTTGGGTTTGGATTTGCGGGATATTGTTTTAGGTTTTGATGGACAAGGTACGGTTCTAGTTTTAAGTGGAGATGATTGGTCATTAGAAAGAGATGGTTCTTCCTTAAGTTCAAGATCAACCAACACAGGTGATTGGTATTCATTGGCAGGTATTGGGGCAAGACAACAACTATTGATAGGTTGCAAAAGATTGAAATGGCAAGCAGCTCTGTGAAAGTTATGCAAGACCAAAGTGATTGGACAATCACAGATTCTATCATATTTTAACAATGGACGTAACACCAGGCGAGGAGTGAAATAAAACCATTTCTGCTCAAGCATAGCATAAACACAAATTTCATGCTGCAAGGCCGTGGCACAAGCGTACATATCCACTGTTTCTCCCCACGTACCGGACATAATGCTTCGCTCCAGATGCTTTTCTATCGATTCGTATCGAAATAAATGCGGTCGAAAAGTAGCCGGATTTTGTATTAAAACTTCGTTACACATTTCTCGAATGTGAGCAAAGTTTTCGTCGCTTTCACCGTTTATAGCCAACGCAACTGCTCGATAAAAGCAATTGCCGTCTCCACATACTTTTACTTCTTTTCTCCCAACTGGTAACGAATACCCATTACAACGAATAGCCATTATAATGGAAATAGGTGCTTTAAATTAAAAATTCTCAAAAATATCACTATTACAGATAAATTGCTAAAGAAATGTTTGCCCCCTGGCGATCCCAAAATGCATTGCAAAAACCGCGCAATTTTAAGGGAGACTGGCAACCGGCAAATACTCCATTTAAAACAATTTAGTGAACAAAATGGAACTAAATTTTTTTGATGTGTGAGTCCACTGCACAATGGATAGTGCTGTCCTTGCTTCGTGTAATGGTAGTTTTCAGCGAGCAAACATCTCAATTATGCTCATCAGTGGACTATTGTTGAGGTAAGAACATATAAAGCATATTTTATAGAAACTCTTTGTCATATACTTTCTGGTCGGTACCATTGAGCTCTATAAGACCTCAATGGAACTCAATGGTCGGTACTTACTTAGAATCAAGGATTCGAAGATGCCAATTTCGAAAGTATTTGTCGTCTTTATGAAATCGGTCGCATAAAATGTGAAGAAGGAGATGATGATGATGATGATGATGATGATGATGACGATGACGATGATGATGAATTGGTAAGTTTATTACTTTGTACTCTGCAACCAATCTCTAGTTAAAAAATGACATCACCATATCATTTTAGCAGAGTGAAGATTAAGTTGATGATTTGGCTGACTTTATTGTTGATGACGACGACACTGTACTAAGAGACCTGGGTGACATATCAAGACAGAATAGTAATAGTGAGAATGATAACGGATTACTTGATTCATATGATGAAAATAATACAATCAATAGTCATATAGATGATGATTTGGGTCACATCATTAATGGTGACATAAGCAGCAGTGAGGACAATGACGTGATGGTCAACAACAGTGACAGTGAACTTGATGCCAGTATGACATTTTTCTTGCTCATTCCAGTGATTCTACTGATTTGTCGTCCTCTGAAATGTCTGATTAAATGATGTTTTTGATGAAGTACATTTTCACTCACACTGTATTTATACACTAATTTCAAGATTCTTAGATACTTGAATTAGTTTATATTGTTTAATTTCATGTTCACTTTAGGAAGTGTTACTTAGTATGCTAACATAAAGTTGATCAAGATATGTTTGTCCACCGTCTTATTTTACTGAAAAATGTACAGCAATCAAAACTAATTTCAACATGACAACATGGCATGTTTTCCATTATATGTACTGATGTACACGAAGTGTCGTGCTTTCATGAAGACAGGTGAATTACAATAAAGGATAAGATAACTTATTAAGGTCCAGTCTGAGATGATAAACACCACAATCAAAACACTTTCGACAACAACATACAATATGCATTAATTGTTTGATACTCCATCGATCAAAATGAGTAATAAAAGAAATGTCGTTATATCTTTATAAAACAAAAACGAATTGGATAATTTTAGTCGTGAGAGTGAACATGTCAAGCTCTCTTATTGATATGGTGAAATGGCTTGAGTTCCCTTGAACGACTTAATTACTGTAAGTATATATATAATTACTAAATAGATAGCCCCGACAAAACCTTTGCTAGAACATAAGTAAGAGGATAAATTTTGCTAAACAGAATTCCAGGATAAACTGAAGAGCAAACCCTGACGGTCAGTTCTACAAGTTTAAAGCCGTATGTGAAATACGTAAAAACTTTCTAGATTTTACATAAATACATAAAAACTTTCTAGATTTTACTTTCTAGATTTTTCTATTATACATAAACGAACATTGACAAATTTTACTATGCTTTATTTTGGCCTTACACCCCGAAAATGAATCTGATAATTATTTTCGGACCTTTGTATTCTGTTAAAGACACTGCAATATTGCTAAAATTTGGATTTTTTTTATTTTTGTATAAAAAGTTAGTAAATTAAATAATAGTTTATAATAGTTTAAGCTATACCAGCAACCACTATCATGTAACTGATCCTAATTCCCTAGGCTTTTGTGACGCTGAGTTTGAAAGCTCTAGTATAAGCCTTCTGCCAAAGCTTTCCCTCAACTTTCGATGATCAGCTTTACCAACCAGTGCATGATGAGGTAGGCTGGCAATAAGGGCAACTGATTGCGAATATTGTATTAGTTTAAAATATTGTATTGTATTAGTGGCTCTCTGGTGCTTACCAGAATGTGTTATATACAATAAACCAGAAAAAGTGCTGACTGATGTCAGCACTTTGCAAAATGACTAATTTGCAAAATGAAGTATCAAGTAATTCAAGATGGCGTTCGTTTGACGGCTATATCGACTATGGTTTTTATTTTAGATCTTGGAGTTTTATGGCAACAAATCAAGATGTTCCAGGTGGACATAAATCGAGTTTTTACAAGACCTCGATACTCGACTGAAATGTTCAATTTGTAAACTCCCTTTGAGGAATCCACACCAAACTTCTTGTGGTCATCGTTTTTGCGAGAGTTGCATTAAAAATGTTATTGAGAAGTATGATTATTTTGTCCTTGCGATAAACCACACATCCCTGTATTTTCCCCAGTTTTTTAGTAACTAAGGTTCAACAATTCGCTTAGGCGTTAAAAATTTTGTGATGAATTATAAGAGCAATTTCGCATAAGAGAAAATTTGATGCTGTGCTTTGGTAAATTGTCAGTTGGAATATTAAATCGAAATTATTACACTTCCGCTTTTCAATTTAACAGTCAAGCTGTAAGTTTGAATTAATTTTAAATTCATACAGTATCGTAATAAAGAAAAATTTTCCGAAAATGCTCATGCTAAAAATGATTTACTTCTGTATCGTGTGTAGATATAAGTATTAAAAACGTTTAGCAATTCGTGATAGGAAAATGATCAATACGGCAACGATCACTCTCATGACATTGCATGTAGGCGCTGGAATCTCATACATTTTTCAGAAATTTTTCAATAACAGAAATGATGACAATTTTTGACAGTTTCATCGCAGCTTTCGCGATATTCATGTACAACAATTCTTCGTGAAACATAAGTTTAAAATGAACCTTGCTAGACATTTCTTGATGAAAACATACGTATGAGCCTTATTTTACTAGGGGATGTATGAAACTCGGCACTTCTTTAATTTTAAACATTTCAGGGTTTTAATAATAAAGTTCAAAATTAGATAGATCCATGGATGAATTGTTACGATATTAGTCCGTCTATCCATTAAACTTCTTTTTGAACAACTGTAACGCTGGGAAGGGCTGAAGGGGAAACCCCTTTTACTACTTATACAATTTTTGTTGACGCATTCTTCTCACTTAATATAGCGGGGACCAAAAGTGTCCAGAAGACGGCACTGTACTTACTCTCGAAGATATATTCCCAGATACATTTTGTAACCGTGAAATTTTGGACCAACATTGTTATTGCCGCAACAAAAGTTTGGGTTGTAAGTGGACGGGAATGTTTAGAGCAGAAAAGGTGAATTATTCATTAATTGAAATACTTTTCCATACCTTTACGTACCGTGTTTTTTAAGTGGCAAGCACATTTCTTTTGATTACATGGACATTTATCCACAATCAGCTCCCCAATATATCGACGTCTGTCTTCAATCTCCTCCTCAATGTGTGGACATTTATCTATAAATGATAGCTTAAAATGAAATTAATGTTATGAAATATTTTTTTCTCTAACGTTATGTAGCATTTGTTTTTCCTAGTCCTCAATTGGATGACCGACTTTGCGTTCACCAATATACCTGTTAACGGCGATATATTTGTTGGTTTTTCTTTTTCTTTAGGATCATCAAAAAGAATGTTTATACGTGGAACAGACCTGTCCAAATAATGGTTGTGAATTGCGATTATTGCGGCGTGATCTTGAAGAACATATGGCAAAGGATTGTAAATTCAAAAAGATTCCTTGTCAATATTCCTTGTCAATATGTGAGCTTTTAAATGTGCGAGATTATAAATACATTTATCACTTTGCGAATGAACAAATGTTTCGTGTTCAATATAATGTTCTTTTCTTTATTAATATCTTAGGAACATCTTGAAACAACGTGTCCAAATTTTCCTTTGGATTGCCCAATTTGTGGTCAGAAAGTGTTACGTTGTAATATGGAAACTCATTTGCTAAACGATTGTCCTAAGGCGGAAAGTTCTTGTCTTTTATTTCCCGATTGCAATTTTCAGGTTACTGGCACATTTTAGGAAATAGGATGTAATTTAATTATAATTGGCTTTCTCCAACCAATCAATGTCTTATTGAATTTAATGTTCTCCAAGAATTCGCCTAGATTTTGTTAAATCGCTTGGAATTTCCCTGAAAAAACTTTAAAAAGTAAATGAAGTGGCGATGCATTTTAAAGATTTCAAACGGTTAATTTAGGGTTCAAGATCAGATCTTAAGAAGCACATGTCTGAAAAACAGATCACCCATGTTACCATGTTGAATGGCTATATAAAAACGTTAGATGGACATGTGAAGCAGCTGGAAACATCGACAACAGCTATAACGGAAATGCAATCAAGTGTTGATGAACAGTTGAAGAACCATCATAAAGAAATTGTCAAATTTCATGGCGATCTTGAGGCCTTACGTGCTTCGCATGGGGGGAGTTCATCATTTAGAGCAGCAGAAAGTTCACAAGCCAACGAAAATATGTCACGTGGTGCAGGCAAACCCGACGAGAAACCACGTGATGATACAATTCATGATCAAGCTGAAATTGATAACATAAAAAGACGCTTAACTAAACTGGAAGAGCAAGTTGCTAGTTTCATTTTGAGGAAGCGTCACTCTTTTAATCGAGTACAGGTGGGGATTTTGAGAGATTCGAAGGGTGGATGGCATTATTAATCAAAGGCAAAAATTTTTGATGAAGTCGAAAGATCGCGGAAACTTTGTTAATGGTTATTGGCAAAAGCATTCAGGATCAACTTTCTATTTGTTTTAAGAGTAAAATGTGCAGCAACCGCAAAGAAATTCAACATCAATTTCAATCTACTTCTTTTCAGTTCGGTGGTGGCGATGATGAAACAGTATCAGATCTTGAGAGACGGATTGCTTCCTTAGAACATCAAAACTCGTTGAGTGAAGTCCAGATTGCTGATCACGACGTAAAACTGAATAGGTTGGATAGTACATCTTATGAGGGCACTTTCATTTGGAAGATTGAAGATTTTGGACGAATATCTAATGAGATATACAAACAGGACGTTCCTTGTCAATCTATAGGTAAAATACAGTGATTGTAATTCGTCAGTTAAGAAGAAAAGGCGTTATTTTCAAGTCTTGATCACTGTAATTAATTTTTATACCTAATGAATCATTTCTTTTTGAGTCTTGCATTTCCTTTACACGACGCTAAAGGAGCCAGAACTCTCCCCACCCCACCCCGTTAATCGTGTAAATTAATCAGAAAAAGATTAATCCCCGTTAATCAGAAAAAGAGATCCGTTTCGGGAGGGAGCGAATGTTAAAAATTTTTCTCAAAGTGGAAGTTTTGACAACCAAAATCCGCCATTACCGCCATGTTTTTGACCACGGGGTCCAGGCCCCTTTGCCCCTCCAGGTCTTTTAGAGCTCAATGAGTCGTACTCTTGCTAAAACTCCCTAATAACTCAATGGTGATCACATGGCCTGCAGCACAATTTATTCAAGGTGTCCATGCCACGTGATTTCATTAGAGAGAATAATTACTACTGATCTTAATATCTTCCTGGATGTAGTCGCTATCGTTACTCAATCACTGCTTGTCAAATAAAGCAGATTTATCATAAATATTCATATTTACAAAAACTCATTTAAAAATATATGTATGTTTTTCATATATTAGGAAACAGGAATGGTCTTAAAACTCTTTTCGAGATGCACCTAATTGAAGTGAAATGTTCAACACCAAGGCAAGAATCTTGCTGTCATATACTTTTCCATGTACCAGTCAAGATCGGTTCCATACAATCAATTTTTCCTATCTCTTTCAAACGTTCCACGAGACGTTTACGCGAAAATTTCTTTCTATTGTTGATCATTGACAATACTTTCTCAGCCTTCTGGAAGTCATCTTGGTAAAAAGGGTTGCGTTGAATGTTATTTCTTTCTTCCTTAGCAATATCCATAAGACCGGCGAGACTGTCCCAGTCTACTCCAATGCGTCTGCTAAGCCGATATGTTTCACGCGAGCTTAATCGAGTGTGACGTAATGTTACGTCATCATCAGGAGAGCTTTCGTTAGAGCTCACTGTATCAACATTCTTAAACAAAAAAAAACGAAATGTAAAATGACCTATAAGGTTGTCTATTTCAATGATGCACTAAACACGTATTGGATATATACTGGACACAAAAATATATATTAAACTACAAGAAGACAACCAGCTAAAGAAGGGAAGAATATTCAAAAAACAAACGAAGAGGAAGTTTTGTGTGAAGCAAGCTCTTTGCGTATAAATCCAGACGATATAATAACGTTGAAAATAACTTGTTTTCAAGTTTAATTTGATTTTCAATTCTTCTAGACTTTATTGCCCGAGAAAAATTGTTTCAGCAGATGGGAATAAATTTCTAAACAAAATACCTCTTTTACATCAAGTAGGATATCATCATAACCCAGTTCTTTCAAACATTTTTTCAGCATATTTCGACTAAAATTATGTTGCTCGTCGTAAATAGCAAGTATCTTCTCAGCCTTGTTAATACTGCCCGGATAGTCAATGTGATTCCGTCGAATTTCGTCTCGTTTATTATATGGGATATCTAAAAGACCACCAAGGCTGTCCCAGTCCATTGCAATTGTGTGTGAGGATTAGTTCAATTTCGCAGATTTAATTAAAACATCCTGTGTTTCAGCATTCCTAAAAATTGTAGTCAATACTACATGAAGACGTTCTATGACCTCAAGCATAAGGCAAGTACAGGCATGTAAAACGTCTAAAAAAAATCATGTTGCTGTATGTTAAAGATATTTCCATTTGATAATTAAAGTTTGCAAGATTTGCGCTGGTCATAAGAAACAGATATGCATTACGATAAGAATTGCTGTCAGGGAAGTTCGAGAAAATTAATTAGATGAATAAGAGAAGGACGATTTTAAAATCACGACAAACAGGAATAAAATAAGAGAGTCATAGTATTAGACAAAAGTATGAGCATAACAGCTATTATAGAAAGAAAAATCAATGCGTGTTTAAATATATAAAAAGTAACTGAAAACCATCAGTGCAATCAGTTAGATATATTGGCAACAGTCAGTTAAAGCCTCACTAACAGTAATTAATAGCAACACATAGGGAAAGAAGTTAACTAAAAATACGCTCTGAAACTTGTCTATATATTGGGGATAAACGAGCTATAGCGCGTGCCGCACAATTCTTGTAACTCGCGTTGAAAAGCTTTCTTGGAATAGTGCTGAAGGCCACGCAAATGAATCCATATAACTTTGAAGTCGTCGACGCATGCTTGTCGCATGTTTTAGAAGCATTAAATAAAGTAGCTATGACAATGAATCGAATTCTGCAGTGAGATATTTTTAACAAATAAAATTATTGCAGATACAATTCAGGTAGTTATTATTTATTGCATTGCATCTTTAACTCGGGTTAATTTTTTTACTCTTTAAAATTTTTTTTACATCTTTAACTCGGGTTAATTTAGACACTCGATCTGTGTCGTGATGAATGATTTGATCGTAAATCCCACATAATTATCTCCGGATAGACAACTCATATAATTTGTCTACTCATGCATTGGACCGTCCATAAGAAAGCGTCGGGAAATAATTAGGAAAAACACAATTTGAAGTTGTCAAGACAAGCTGAATACACAAAACCTTCATTAAAGTGATTATTCATTAACCTATTCATCAGCATGGAAGAAAAAAGTTCAACGATGATGTCATGGCAATAATTTATATAATCAGTACTGAGTTATTGTGAAATTTGATTTTACATGTAAAGCAAAAACTGAACAATTTTTCTTTAAAACATCATTTCAGTATACACACAGTATACCATAACGTTTAATAAATTAAAGCTTACCACATGGGGTAGATGTCCATGCAAACTCCTGTCTTCATCATTTATATAAAAGGATTTTAAAGTTAAGGTAAAAAACCGTTGCTAAGGCGTTGCTATGAACCAAAAACTATAAGAAGACAACTTGGAAAGCATTTTTCCTAAATAAACTGCGCTAATAAACTGCGCTAATACCCTTCAAATCTGCGTTGAAAGAGAAAATGCTTACATATTAAGACTTTTTTTATTTAGTTTGGTCAAAAAATGAGCTTGCAGTTAATAGTGGTTGGAATCATGTTGATAAGGACATTGGACTGTACATTATACATATTGTAATTTATAGAGAGAAAAGAGGTGTTTTTCTTGCAACTGCAAAAATGAAACGCTTTTTTGAAATGAAAGAGAAAGTCTTTTACTCTCTAATCTATTGACAAAATCATTGCTATATCAACCCATCACGAAATCTTATGTAAAGTTTTCAACTTCCCAAAAATTAAGATTGAACAGCATATTGATTAGCGAATTCTCTGGTAAATTTCTCATACACTGAGCCACAGGATATCTCTCACATGATCACTCAAAAGAAGGTTTATATAGATCAATCAATATAGATTCAATCCTGTGGTATCAACGGTAATCTTTATGAACACCGTATCGTCCCGTATGTAACCGCCCCTTTGAAGCGCAGATTTAGGTACAAAGAGAGGACAACCGCTGGCAATATTCATGTTACTTCTGGGTCGTTGAAAACTTGAGCTGTTTGGATCTGGTCGAAAGCTGTCAACGATATGCTGGTCTCCATTCTGATCAATTAATTTAAAAGTTACTTTCTGTCGAAATGGCCAAGTCAATAGGGCATCGTAATTACCACGCATGAGCACAAAGAAAAGAGATAGATGTGTGTTCTTTCCCATTCCATCACCGTTTGGGTATACTCTCGCGCATGCCTAAATATACATAAACAACAAATGGTGGTTCCACTTCCGGGAACGTCCAACTATTAACGTTTAGCGATTAACGGGTTGGGGTGGGGAGAGTTCTGGCTCCTTAAGCGTCGTGTAAAGGAAATGCAAGACTCAAAACGAAATGATTCATTAGGCATAAAACTTAAATACAGTGATCAAGACTTGAAAATAACGCCTTTTCTTCTTAACTGACGAATTACAATCACTTTATTTTACCTTGTATCCATAACGGCCAACGTAGAACTGTGGACTATAGATTGATAGGGAACGTCCTGTTTGTGCATCATTTGATATTCGTCCAAAATCTTCAATCTTCCAAATGAAAGTGCCTTCATAAGATGTACTATCTAACATATTCAGTTTTACGTCGTGATCAGCAATCTGGACGTCACTCAACGAGTTTTGATGTTCTAAGGAAGCAATCCGTCTCTCAAGATCTGATACTGTTTCATCATCGCCACCACCGAACTGAAAAGAAGAAGATTGAAATTGATGTTGAATTTCTTTGCGGTTGCTGCACATTTTACTCTTAAAACAAATAGAAAGTTGATCCTGAATGCTTTTGCCAATAACCATTAACAAAGTTTCCGCGATCTTTCGACTTCATCAAAAATTTTTGCCTTTGATTAATAATGCCATCCACCCTTCGAATCTCTCAAAATTCCCACCTGTACTCGATTAAAAGAGTGACGCTCCCTCAAAATGAAACTAGCAACTTGCTCTTCCAGTTTACTTAAGTGTCTTTTTATGTTATCAATTTCAGCTTGATCATGAATTGTATTATCACGTGGTTTCTCGTCGGGTTTGCCTGCACCACGTGACATATTTTCGTTGGCTTGTGAACTTTCTGCTGCTCTAAATGATGAACTCCCCCCATGCGAAGCACGTAAGGCCTCAAGATCGCCATGAAATTTGACAATTTCTTTATGATGGTTCTTCAACTGTTCATCAACACTTGATTGTATTTCCGTTATAGCTGTTGTCGATGTTTCCAGCTGCTTCACATGTCCATCTAACGTTTTTATATAGCCATTCAACATGGTAACATGGGTGATCTGTTTTTCAGACATGTGCTTCTTAAGATCTGATCTTGAACCCTAAATTAACCGTTTGAAATCTTTAAAATGCATCGCCACTTCATTTACTTTTTAAAGTTTTTTCAGGGAAATTCCAAGCGATTTAACAAAATTTAGGGGAATTCCTGGAGAACATTAAATTCAATAAGATATTGATTGGTTGGAGAAAGCCAATTATAATTAAATTACATCCTACTTCCTAAAATGTGCCAGTAACCTGAAAATTGCAATCGGGAAACAAAGGACAAGAACTTTCCGCCTTAGGACAATCGTTTAGGAAATGAGTTTCCATATTACAAAGCAACACTTTCTGACCACACATTTTTGGGCAATCCAAAGGAAAATTTGGACACGTTGTTTCAAGATGTTCCTAAGACATTAATAAAGAAAAGAAAATTGTATTGAACACAAAACATTTGTTCATTCGCAAAGTGATAAATGTATTCTCGCACATTTAAAAGCTCATTTGATAGTCGAATGCCACAATATTGACAAGGAATCTTTTTGAATTTACAATCCTTTGCCATATGTTCTTCAAGATCACGCCGCAATAATCGCAATTCACAACCATTATTTGGACAGGTCTGTTCCACGTATAAACATTCTTTTTGATGATCCTAAAGAAAAAGAAAAACCAACAAATATATCGCCGTTAACAGGTATATTGGTGAACGCAAAGTCGGTCATCCAATTGAGGACTAGGAAAAACAAATGCTACATAACGTTAGAGAAAAAAATATTTCATAACATTAATTTCATTTTAAGCTATCATTTATAGATAAATGTCCACACATTGAGGAGG